CATGCAAATATTTTCCCCCCATATTATGAGATCTTCACTACATATATATAACATTTAAAAACACATTTAAAGTAACATTTATAAATATATATATATATATTTATATATATATATATATATATATATATATATATATATATATATATATATATATATATATATATATATATTTTTTTATTCATGTTGTCCTTTTACAGATATACTACTAAAAGTTTTACAGATACCTGAAATTTATATATATATCCACACACACACTTATATATATGCACACACACACACACACATATATATATACACATACATACACACACATATATATATGCACACATACATACATACATACATTCATATATATATATATATATATATGTATATATATATTTTTTTTTTACTATTAACTGTATATATCATACTATTTATTGTGAAGGAAATTTTCACTGTAATTCTTAAAAAAGAAACTTTTTAATTGATGAAAAGCAAAAAAAAAAATTATTTTTTTTCTTTTTAACTGAAACTTTATTTTCGATTCTTTTGCCATCTTTAGTGTCAGATTCATTTTTCAAAGTCTGTCCAGCTTTTTATTGATTTTATTTTCAACTAATAAGTTTGTATGAATGCATCAAATTTACCTATTAATACGAACGACATGAAGATGCGAACATTGATAGATAAAAAAGTATCAGCGAAATAGGTTATAATAAATATAGAAACCCACACCCACACTCATGCAAACCACAGACTAACACACACACACACACACCCACACACACACACACACACACACACACACACACACAAACATGTATAAATCCATACACACAGAGAGTTATTATTAATAATAAGTTATTTTATTTTAATAATTTCACCCCAAGCAAGGCATCAAAGCCACTAAGATGCTACTAAATATGAAAGAATATAAAAATAAGAAAAACATTATTAAAGAGAGAGAAGAATAAAAAAAGAGGAATTAAGAAGACAGAAGATAATGATTGACATTACATTTAAATTTTTGTAGATCAATGTTGACTGGAAAGCAAGAAGCCAGAAGAGAGTTCCACAAGTGAGAAATGTGATAGAAGAAACTGTTAGCATAGAACTTACAGTTCGATCTAGCCAATTCAAATGTAAAATGATGAGACCTAGCTGCCAATCTAGCACTGCAATTAAATTCATAAAGTCTGAGCATCATTGAGGAAATTTCATCAGAACAATTATCATGAAAGTATTTATAGAAAAGGCACATTATGGCAGTGGGAAAGTGATTGAAGCTGAGATGCCAGATCCAGACCAATAACATTTCAGATTCTTCTTTGGATTTTATTAAGAATCTCTAAAAATATAGCAAGAGCTCCAGACCAAATGTGGCATCAATATTCAAACCATGGAGGGATGTAAACTTATAAATGTGTAAGGTAGATTCAGGCAACTAAAATTGTCTAACACAACACAATAAACCAACTATACCAGCAGCAGACCTAGCAATTGATTCAATATAATCTTTCCACTTCATGTCAGAAGAGAACATTAGCCAGAAAAGGCACAACGAGTCACTCTCCTGAAGGTTAGTATCAGCCATGCAGATGGAAGGCATATAGGGTTCTCACAGATGATTAATAGAGACCAGTTTCATTTTGGAGGCATTAGAATTAACAAGCTATTCCTTGCCCCAGTTAACAACAGACTATAGGTCATTTTTGAAATCAGCAATACTTAGAGAAGAGCATGATTTAAGAAAAGAAAGAGAAAAGGAAAACAGTGTTTAACAATGTTTCTATAGTATACTAGCAGCATGGCCCGGCGTTGCCCGTGCTTGATTCAAAAATCATACGACTCATACAGCAATTGCTATCACTTGACTTAAAATATTTTTGCCCTTCCTTGCCTTTAATGGAGTGCCCTTTGCCATACTGATGTTGCTACATGCCTTACTTCTTGCCTATCTCACACTGCGAATTTTTTCTAAGCTCTATACTAAACATCAAATCTGTTACAAAAAAAGAACTAAACAAAATGAACACAAAACGATCAGCTTTAAAAAAAGGACTCATAACTGGAAAAACCGAATAAAAAAAGAATGTTGACAACAAATACTTTTTCACACCCAACCCAGTTCTGCGGAATCAGAATCAACGTTGAGTTTAAGCAAGCGAATGAGCCAATTGGAGTAAAGTGCCATGCAGATTTAATTTTTTCCCACTTGTGACAAATGCAGCTATCGATTTTTTTTGCATGCTAGTTAACATTCATGTCAGTCAGCTGTTGGCTCTCACGCTGGCCAATAGAATCTTCCTGCCTATTCGTGGCAGCCAGCTATTGGCTCTCACTCTGGCCAGTAGAAAATGGCCGCAAACTACATGAAAAGTGCCGTAGAAGCATGAAAAAATCGATTATTTCCACTATCAATGGGAGTTTGAAAATGCAAAGTCAGTCTTCGCTTTCCTAACTTGGAGCATGTGCATGTAAATTTTGGTGCAAATCCATCGAAAATTGCAGCCGTGCATTCGTTACACACACACACACACACACACACACATCCTGCCTTTTATAGATAGAGATCTCTCTTCTTCAAGTTACATTTAAGAAAACCACTTATTATTATTAATACAAAATAATAAAGGAAAGTGGGAAGAAAAGACTAACTGTTGATACAGTATAGACCTTGTGAAACTCATACATATGATCCATCGATAAAGATGTTAGTAAAATGTTCAGTTTCCTGTACCGCTCCAGTAAGTACCTGATACTTGTGCTTTACAAGAGCCAGATCAGGCTGAAAATGATGTACCTGTCATGGGTCCTTACCTATAACTACAGAATGAACTCTTTCTAACACTATGTGTACTACGCCTCTCAAGAGAGAGGGTCGAATTGAGTTGAGCCGATAGTAGTTCACTCCAAACCAGACTGACAGTCATACTAACACCTTCCACATCTTGTATTATTATTTTGTGTAATATACCTTTGTTATTTTCTACTCTTGTGTTCATGTTGTTCTTTCTTGGTCCTAACCTGGACCATAACAGTACCATTGCCACATATTGGTCTTCCCTTTTGAGTCTCGATCATCCAAAAGTGTCCCCATGGGTGATTCATTATTTCCCACCCTACAATCCTTTTCTTAGAGATGAAAGGTTACAAGTCTCTGACTGCTCTATTGATATTTCTATGGAAAGCGTTCAGATGAACTACATTCTTTATCTACAAGTTTCAATCTTCATGTCTAAGAACCGCCATACCACACATATTGTAACAAACTACCCTCATTCCGTTCATATTCCATTGATGAGATCTAAATTCCACTTGAATTGCTACTTTGAGGAACTGACTCCCAAGATGATGCTTCTTTGATCACTACAATCTTAATCTGTTCAAGTCTAGGCTCAACCATTATCTTCCCCACATATGCCTATAAGCTATGCCTTTTACTCTGTAACTCTCTACCGTGAGTGGCTCTTGGCCCTTGTACAGGATAAACATTATTGTAAAAAAAAAAACACGTATCATATTCTCAGGGTGCTGCTGCTATATATGGTTGGGAGGTGCCCAGTCTTTATTTTCAAGTCTTGATTTGAGTTCAAAAGCATCTGGAGATGATATCTAAATCAAGCACATACAGAAAGTGAACTGTCTAGGAAATGTTTTAAAAGATGATGGAAAATGTGATGTAGAAATCCAAATGCCCAGTCAAATAGCAAAGGATACTCTCCAAAAATTTAAACGAATTTGAGAAACTGGAAAATTTTGTTAGAAACAAAAAAATGTGTGCTGAACTGCTACGTAATAACTGCTACGTAATAACTGCTACATAATAACTGCTACGTAATAAGACTGAAACAACCCAAATTAACCCAGTTTAGTTTTCAAGTACTTTCAAAAGTCACAAGTAGCAAAATTCAAATTTTAGCAGCACTAAGCTTTCAAATATAGTACCTCAAATAATGTACCTCAAATAATGTACCTCAAATAATTACAAGGTGTGAAACTCAAAATTTAGTTGTGTGAAAAACAAGTCACCCTAAATGTCACAATTAGTAAAATTCAGAAATCATTTTGATTACTTTTCTTTAGTTTTCCTTATTATATAATTTGTTCCCAATTAATAGGGTATCTATCTAAAACAATCTGTTCATTATCTATCTATCTATCTATCTATCTATCTATCTCTGTTCCTATCTATTTATCTATCCTAGTCTGTTCATATCTATCTATCTCATATCTATCTATCTATCTATCTATCTATCTATCCTAGTCTGTTCATATCTATCTATCTATCTATCTATCTATCTATCTATATATATATATATATATATATATATGTTCCTATCTGTTTATCTATCTATGTCTGTTCACATATATCTAAGTTTATTCATATCTATTTATCTATGTCTGACCATATCTATCTATCACAGTCTGTTCATTTGTATATCAATTTATCTATATATGTATCTACCTAAATCTATTCATTATCTATCAATCAGTCTATCTATCTATCTATCTATCTATCTATGTCTCTTCATATCTATCATATCTATCTATCTACATATACAGACATGTATATATATATATATATATATATATATATATATATATGAAAAAAAATATACAGAAATAACAAACAAAAATCCTAATATGCAATTATGCTGTTTTAATGTTTTAATTGCATATTAGGATTTTTTTTTGTTATTTCCGTTTTTCTTCATACTATCGGATCTATATCCATATTTTGCTTACACACACACACACACACACACACACACACACACACACACACACACACACACATATATATATTTATATATATATATATATATATATATATATATATATATATTGAGACCAATACTTTCAATGATTGGTTCATCCCAACATTCTCTGGCTCAATGGCTTCTGCAGGTCATACAACCGGTCCAAACATTTTTTGCTAAGCATTGTATACCTGATTCGTTCACGTTTGTTGAACGCCTACTGGCCATACAGTCTTGCCCTGAGACTGATTTTAT